CGACGGCCGCTGCTCCCCTGTCGACTTTGCTTCCACCTCTCGCCGAGCTGGAGTTCAGCAGTCGACGGGAGAGCGACCGCGGATTTACACTACATGCGATAAATCGATCCCCGATAGATGGATTGTTACCTGCCGATCCGGCGGGTACTGTAGACATACCCTGAGTGACATAAGTTATGCCGACATAAGCTGTAGTGCAGACATAGTGTCGTTTTTTGGGGGATTTCAGAAAAAGTCATTATAGGACAATGCATCAAATCACACCCAATTTAGGTAAATAGGGATATAGCTATAGCTGTACTCTTGTTTCGGTAAATTGTCACTATAATTAGTTAAGCAATACCTCTGCTATTGAAACAACTTCCATCAACAAAGACAAGCCTATATTTATGGAGGCAAACAATTTTGATAAGTCCATTATTAAAGTTTGATCGGCAGTATTAAAAAAAATAATCTCATAGTAAGCACGCAATAATTTGGCAAACTCATACACCAACAAAAGCATTGGAACTGGATAAAAGTAAAGACACTACAGAAGAGTATTTAAAATGCATGGTCACACAGCTTGCAACTGCAGGCAGAATTTAAACGAACAGAAAAGCTTCAGTAAATTTGTTGCTCTTTCACAATAATCTGCATCCTGGCCAGAACTGAATCTGCATCAGCCTTATGAAATGTCATGGTTAGATGATTGATTACTATGTTGCTTATCCCTTATACAGATGTCATAAGCAAGCTTACTTAAATTTGTATTACAGAAAAAACTTTTGTCTAAGTAATGCAACATTTGCAACAATTGAGAGCAGAGTTTTTTTAATAGAAATTTCTGATAAAAACAACAATTGATCTGGACCTCTCCCAAGATTGTTGTACATGTACACACGCTTAGGATAATACCAGATTAGCTAACACGCACAGGAATAAATCATGTACAACTGAGACAATTACAGGGGACCCCATAAGTATCAATACTTCTGGGGTCCTTTATTTGCATTTCCCCTCCCCCCCCCAGGATAAAAATACACCAGTAGGCTGATGAAGCAAGTTTACTATTCTTGGGTAAAGGCACTGTGGTCAGTAGTAAACAAACTAAGAAGTGTTTCTTCCGCCAGGCATATTGCTATTCCTTACATTAGCTTAAAACATCTATGGATTTTATGACAAGCCAAGATGGTTTTAAATTGAAACTAATAAAGGAGGTTTAACTTATGCAATGCATTTAGCAATACATTTTTAATGGATCTTCCTCTTTAAAATAGTAACACGATTTTTATTTTGTAATACTTCTGACAATAACTATCTGATAAAAAGGAAGAATCAAAGTATTTTACAAGTAAAAATAGAACACTGAAAGAGTCCTTAATTTCAAACTCATTCAATGAACCTCAGAGCGTCTATACAGTGCCTTCTCAAAAGGTGTTAGAGGTACTTTATGATCCATATAAATAAGCACACCATATTCCATTTGAACTAGAGTGCATTCATTCACCTATCTTATTTGTGACTGCCACACACACTACCTCTAAATAAGGGGAGAAATGGGGTGGCTTTTTGCAAGACTACAGCCTCCAGCACTGCCAACCCCCAGTGTTAAAAAACTATGAGTCAAGCCCCAGTCATATTGGTTTAAAAATAATAAAAATGGGGTCGTTCCTATTTGCCTTCTCGTTTTTGATTCACATTTGCAAGCTTTTATTTGCAACCATGAGGCTGAAATCTTATTTAAAAAAAAAACAAAAAAAACACTGAGATTCTCACATAACTCCAGAAACCAGCGTTATAAGCAGAAATACCAACAATCTAGAGACTCATGATTAAAAAGACAGAAGAGTTGGCAACTCTGAAAGTAGTATAGATCTGGGTCTCTAGGAGGTGATGGTGAGGACAAAGTATTGGATAATCAATTCTTATTTTGGCCCATCTAAATAATAAATGTATTTTCTTATTAAACAAAAGTGCTGCAGTGCTTTTATACCCTCTACCACAAAACATTCTAGTCTATTTTGACCATAAGTATGTTTTAATGTAAACAAATATAGTTGAAGTTTTTGAATATAAGTCCTAACACCGGATGATGTTCCTTCAACCTGCCCTGTTTTATTGCATTTAGTTTATGTTACCCTCAAATTTAGTTTTTAAAAATGTAATCCTCTAATTCTTAAAGTATGAATGCAGGTAGACTGAATGCTAAATGATCATTTACATACAGAAAAGTTAGTGGCAGTATGCAATACATAGCTGAAAAGTAGATAAAAATGGTAGCATGAGGTTAAAAATGGACAATGTCCAAATTATTTTGTAAACAAATTCAAGTACCTAATTAGTAGCATCTTAATAACTGCTTTTTTTTAAAAAGCATGATATTAACATTTTGCATTTCTCTCTGCTTGAAAAAAAAAAGAAAGAAAGTTAGTTTCACTTTTAGATACTCAAGCTGCAATGTTTGGTTTCCAAGTACAGTAAGGAAAGTTCATTTTAAAATACAATAATTTCCCTGGGAATTAAAAAAAGTCCTAGAAATATTATCTTTGTCTTACATTTTGTACAAAATAATCTGTATTTGGGACCAGATTTTATGCTCAGAGTTTCCCTTTAAAGTAAATGCAAGGAGAACTGCATATTTACCTGGACCATAAAACTTCCCTTGATTGGAGGTTAGACCTTGCTTTGTCCCTGAAAAACCTTTACAACAAAAACCCGATAGAAATCTAGGAGCTCCAAAGGTTTTATTGTGGTGTTTAACATTTACTGTGACTATGTAAATTCCAATATGTGAAGTTTATAAATTAAACTAGTCCATGCTACACCCATTAATGTCTTATTTTTACTAGCCCTGATGGTTACAGCTCAATGCCAGAATACTTCACATGTTCTTGCCAAAAACCACAGGAATCAAGTCAAGTGACTTAATTCAGGCCACACATAATATTTAGACCACACACACTTAACTTATCAGAAGTGCACGGTTTAGCCTCACATAAAAGAACATTTTATGCCTTTTAACGTAAAAGGTATTTCTATTAACGTAATATGGCCAAGCTCTTGTGCACACAATAGAATGAATTAAAGAGATTTGTTCTTTTTAAATACTTGCTTCTATATATATATATATATGGGGGGGGGAAGAACTTTATGCAAAAATTGAATTAATGTGTGTCTGCTGTCTGTGACAATGCAGGAAGGTTTTAAACTAGATAAGATGATCTAGCTAAAAGTTACCTTAAAAGGAGTTCCCTGTATTTTCTACCGAAGTGCCATAAGAAAAAGGCTGATGTTAGGAACACTAGAATTGCCAGCCTGGATCAGACCCAAGGTCTAATCTAGTTCAGTAGCCAATCTAGTGGCCAGCATTAGATGCTTCTGAGGAAGGTGTATCCCCCAGTAAGCAGCTGTGGGATCATTTCCCTCACAGATTAGGTTTCATCCTGGTCCCTAATAGTTAGAGATTGGCTTAAATCCTGCAGCATGAGGTTCAATATACTTTTCAAAATTTGTTAGCACTATCTAACTGTGAACATGTTTGTTTGTGCATACAGAGTACATATGTATTCACATTGACATAACCAGGTTAAGTTATGCCCCTTGCAAAATTTACATTTAAATTGTTAATATTTTGATACTAAAATTATACAATATTTACTCCAGATTCACTGGGCCATTGACAACAAACTGTTTAAAAAAAAAAATCCTGCAGTTCACAAAAGACAAAACACAAAAAGAACCCACACACAACTGACTTCATTTAACATTAAACTGAAGGCTCTTAAAAGTCAAAGAACACTACAAACACTAGCCAACGGTTTGGGCTTGCTATCAAAAAGCTGTGGCAGAAGCTGTGCATTTAGTAGCATTCAACAAATAGGCTTTATATAGACAGTGTTAAACCTACAGCTCTTAACTACTATAAGTCTCCTGATCTGACTTTTCTTTCACTTGGAACAGAATAATTAAACACATATGCCTTGAATCTTCATTAAACAGAGAACAGTTAAAAAAATTAGATGGATTCTCCCATATCTTTATATGCAGAGTACCATTTTGATTTTAGTAAAATAATTAAAGATCACATGACAGATGTACAGAGCTTCTAAAATGCAAAGTGTATTTCTCTCTATATACAAACAATATATTGCAATTTAAGTTACCTGTTTGACTAACATAAGTCAAAGCACAACACAAAATTATTTGAGATCCCTATTTAAAATCTCACACATATACATACAGACTGTTAGATAGATAAATATGAAGTTAGAAGTTATTAAATTAGCAATTATCAAGTTCTAAATTCCTATTAGTTTGAATTATTTAAGACAGCAACATATGATTGTTTAAAGTCACATTCCTTATTTGAATTACACCTACTAGAACACACTGGTATCTTAAAGGAAATAAGAAGGTACAACATGACTATGTATAGGAACAAGAAATTAAATCTGCATGCATTCTCTAGACCTAGGTCAATACATTTTGCTTTAGTCCATAATAATGAATTTCTATATGACATGGAAGTACTACCAGTACCATTTGGAGTCCCTTAACCTATGTTGTATGATCACCTCATTTTACTGTATTCACACTCAGGGTATGTCTACCCTACAGCCACTACAGTGGCACACCTATGGCTCTGCAGCTGTGCCACCGTAGCGCAATAGTGTAGACACTTCCCACATTGATGGAAGGGGTTTTTCTGTCATTGTGGGTAAACCACCTCTCCAAAAGCCCAAGCTAGGTAAATGGAAAAATTCTTCTGTTGATCTAGTCAAGTCTACATAGGGGGTTAGGCTGACCTAACTACATTGCACAAGGCACAACATTTTTCACAGCCTGAGTGACGTAGCTAAAAAGCTAGGACTAAGCCTCACACACAAGCCCCCCCCAATATTATAATACTATTAATAGGGATATTAATCACGAGATTCCTTTAACAATTTATGATGGCTATTGGCCAGCTTGATAGTCATTCACAAACACACTGTACATTCTTTCAGCATCTACTGTACCTGCCAAGTTCTTCTCCAGTCTCATAGTAATCATCCAGGTTCTCCTGCCTGAAGACAGTCATGATAGCTGTCACCCTTCAGAAAAACCCAGCCGACTTCAGCACTTTTTCCTTCCAGCTCATCACCACATCTCTGTAGTATCCAATGACACTTCATGCACTACTGTGCGCCCTGGAGAGGGGAGAGGTAGGTGAGCGCCTGGGTTTGTAAGAGGGCGGGTGGTGCATATCACACACACAGACTGACAGTAGCAAATCTCCCAGCTAAGGTTACACAGAAATCCCCACGGGGATTTAAGGGATTAATCACAAAGCGCGTGTGGCCCTGAATCCCTCGCTCTGCTCCGCGCAAACCAGAAGGGGCCAAGCCCCGCGCCCTCTCCCACACTCCCCCGGTGCGGAGCTGAAGAAGGAAACCTACGAACCGCGCCTCCTAAGCCCCGGCTGTGCGGCGGGCACATGGGCAGGAGCCAGGAGGAGCAATGCAGCCGGCAGCCTCCTCGGCTCTACCCTCTGCTTCTCCCCGCTCCTTCCTCCCCTGCGCCTTCTCCCGCCGCGGCACCCAGCTGCTCCCGGGCAGGCACTTCCCCGCCGCACGGCCGCCACATTCCTCAGTGACTCCCCCTCCGTTACCCGGCCAACGAGGACGTGCTGCCAGGCGGAGCCGCCGGGGCTACCGCGCCTCCGTACACGCCAAGCTAGCAAAGGCGAGGGGCGAACCCGCCCAGGCGGCAGGGACTCCGGGCATCCCCGCGAGCCTCCAACGCACCTGATTCCCGGGCGGGGGACAACGCCTCTTGCGTCTAGCGGCAGGAGCCTCGGCCTTTCCGCACCGCGCAGCCAGCAGAGCTGCCCGAGGGGGGAGCCCCCCTCCCAGCCCAATCGTGGTGCGGCAGGGGGAGGGGACGCGGCCGCAGAGCCCGCAGCGCCGGGAGAACCCGCCCGCCTCCCCCAGCGCCACTCACTGCCGCTGCCGGGGGCTCGCCGGCAGGAACTGGGACGCGGCGCCGACCTCCCCGCTGCCCGGCGTTCGTTGGAGCAGCGCACAAGGGAGCAGCGCAGGGCTGGGGAGCGGGGCTCCGCAGCGCGGCCAATGAGAAACCACCCGCCACCCCCCTTCCGCCGCCTTCTCCTCCCCTTCTGGCCGCGGCCTGCCCCGGCTGTGGGGCGGGACCGCTGCTCGCTCACAGGTGCACGGCCAAGGTGCGGGAGGCGCCGGCTCTGGGGCCCTGACTCCCGGACGGGAGCCGGGCGCTGGGGAGGCAATAGCGCGGTAGAGCAGGTTCCTTGCGCCGCAGCCCGCTAGGATGAGATACGGGTGGGACTGTGGAGCAGAAAGGACCCCCAAAGAGGACTGTGGAATCCCGGGGCGATTGAAGCGAGACTCGGCTCCCCGTGCTCGGCGGTGGCTGTTAACTCTCCTCTTTAATTCAGTGGCGGGGCTGCCCTTCGAATCAGCTTCTATGGGGCAGGTACAGAAACCCCATAGAGAAGTTCTCCCTGTCTCCTGCCTTCTCTGGCCCACTGGAAGAGAGAACCTCTCGCAGATCCACTTGCCTTCCTCCCAAACCCCAGAAACCCCCTTCCCCACTTAGTCCTCAAAGCATTTCAACCTGCATCCGAGCCACAGGGTGTATGGGACTGTGGAGTGACCGTGATGGCAGGGCAAGTTGTTGACCCTCCTGAGAGCCAGGTGATGAGCAGCCCTTGCATGGGCACAATGAGGGAGCAGGGACCTAAGGAGTCTTCTCCTCCTATACCCCCACCCCCACCCCTTTGCATGGTCCACACAATGGCTAATCAAAACAGCAGCCTATCTGCAAGGATTGCTCACCTTCTACTGTCCCTGTAAAAGTTATCACCCCAAAGGAGATGGCGATGAGGCAGAGCCATGCAGGACTCTCCCCTGCACCACCCCACAGAATGGGGCTGGTACACACAAGTGCCCTATATTAGTACACATCCCCCATACACAAAAAGAGCAGCCACAGGCAAGATTACAGTTCCCGAGGCACAATCTCTCTTTGTAAATTGTACCTGCAGTAGTGGTGTGACTCTACAGCACCCTTTCTGCAGGGCTGTGTCCAAAATACTCAGAGCCAATGCATCAGTAATAAAAATCATACAGCATCTGGCACAAAGTGGAACACACAGTGTCCACCCTACGATGCCTCTACTGCATCCGCCAATTTCAAAGATGGGTAAGTATTATTTTGGCTCAGTGGTGTGGATGTCTGATGAAAGTATGTGACCATCATGCAGTAGTAACTAGCATTTTTCCCCTGTAATATATTTAATTGGGTTTGCAGGGCCTCACATACTGTATTTGATTTTCCTCAACTCTCCCCCTATTTACACACACCATTGCCAAGTTTTCTGTTTTGGAAATTTTGGTGTCTATTTTTCAGTAGTAAATTGGCATGGCATCATGCCAGGCAAGAAGTTTACCCACAGCTGAAACTTTTGAGTCAAATTCATCAGTACAAGTTGCTACCATTTCCTGCACAACCCCTGGTGTACAACCCCCAGGGAACATATGACTCTGAGTAACAAAACCGCTTATAACTTCCCTCTGAACTATCAGAACTCTCAGAAAAAGAAGTGCTCATCAAAGGTGAAGAAAAGTTCAACACAGTCATGTGTCTGTACACATACTTAATTTAGCACCTGAGGCAACCTGGCCTACTTATACTATAAATGGGTGTTGAGAGTAGGAGACCTGGATTTCGACTTTACCAGTCAGTTACTGTGTGACTTTGGGCAAGTATTTAAACTCTCTGTGCCACAACTGACCTCATTGTCCAAATGGAGATAATATAATTGAATGGATCCCTCAGTTTCAAATCATACAGGGCCCTTGCCAAAGAGTGGAAGGGTGTGGACTTTTCAGACAGAAAAGAGCTCAGAAATGTATGCTGAGGATTCCTAATATATTGTAACCAACTGTGAAGGAGCACAGTACTGCACTTAATCTCCAGCACATCATCTATGGCTTTCATCTCTCTGTAATGAATGTTCAAACTCTTGACTTCTATGTTTTGCTGCACCTCCCCTCCCGGTGGATCCTATGATTTAGTACATACACTCACTCACTCACTCATGCCCGTCAGCCCAGTCGGGGTATGGGCCGCCAACCACAGATCTCCAGAGTCCTTTATCCTGGGCCATTTGCTCTAGCTGGTTCCAGGTATAGCCCATTTTTATGCTATCAGCCTGAAGGTCGCGTCGCCAGGTGTTTCTTGGACGGCCTCTTTTCCGCTTGCCTTGGGGGTTCCACCGCAATGCCTGTCTAGTGATGTTGGTTGGCTGCTTGCGTAGTGTGTGTCCTATCCAACCCCACCTTCTCCTTCTAATTTCTTCCTCTGCTGGAAGTTGACGGGTCCTCTCCAAGAGGTAGATGTTGCTGATGGTGTCTGGCCAGCGGATCTGGAGAATGTCCGGAATACAACAACAGCTCTCCTGTCAACAATCGTCTTTGTCCAGCTTGCGTCCATCTTGTCTCGCTAATGCCTAGTAGGGTCAAGTTGTTGCTCCTCATCTCTGCTGCGACCTGCGCTGTCTTTCTTGACTCGTACATGGTCCTCACGTTCTATGTACCGATGGTAATCCTCCTGGTTGCAAGAAGGGTAATCGGCTTAGTGGCTTCCTCACGACTTTCACCACCCAGCGTCATGCGTCTTCAAGTTGAAGACCCTTCTTTTTCCAGGCTAAAAGTCTCTGTTATCTCTATTGTTGGCCAATGCATCAGTAGTAAAAATCATACAGCATCTGGCACAAAGTGGAACACACAATGTCCACCCTACGATGCCTCTATTGCATCCGCCAATTTCAAAGATGGGTAAGTATTATTTTGGCTCAGTGGTATGGATGTCTGATGAAAGTATGTGACAGGTTAGCAGGTTGATTTTTTACGGGGTGGAGTTGCTAGCCCCACGCCCAACCCTCCTCCTTTATCCTGACTTGGGACAGGCAGATGGCCCCAAAGGACCTCTCTGGTGGAGTTTTAGTACATACAGTCAAACTTTTAAAAAGTTCATTGCTGTTTTAGAGATATTCTTGATGCTTACAATGGGGAATATCATTAGAGCCAGCAATATCTCTAGAACTGGAATGTACTTTTAAAGTACACCCAACCCACAACACTTATGAAAAAATAATTAAACATATGTTTCTGCTCCTTCTGCGTTTTCTACCACAGCAGACAAATGTGGTCCTGAGCTAATAGAAAGATACATACAAAAAGTAAAAATGGTATTTTGTATGAATTATTGCAAGTGTTAATGCTGAAACTTTTTTTTGTTATAAAACCCCATTTTTACTTGTTTGGGATGTATTTGGTAAAAAGGGACAACATCAACTTGAAATTTAGTCAGTTAAATGACAAACATTTAAAAGTCGTTTGGGGTACTACACTTGTCACATAATACTCCTGTCAATGTGGTTTACAATCTCATTTTCTTTTTATTTTTTCTCCTTTTTTTGCTATGTGAAAAGCATACACCAAAAACAGAAACGGAATAAGGCCCTGATTCAGCAAAACATGAGTAATTCCTTTGATACTTATTGCTGAATCAGGGCCTTAGGATCAGTGACATTGACTGTATGCAAAATGTTGTCAAATACTCAAAACAAACAAACTGAAAAAGAGAAAACACCCTCCCCTCCCCACCATAATCTCTCAGTTATAGTAACCTTAGGTGTTTATTGTAACAATGGTAGGTAAAAGTTTTGGAGAGAGAATTGTGGTTTTTAAGTTGATTGTGTCCTGCTAAGTATTTTTAATGGAGTGCCAGATGAGAAATTATTATGGTGGTTGGAGGGATCAGCTTTGTTTACAGGTGAAAGCTTCAGAATTGCTTAAAAAAACAGACAAGTCAGTAGGTCCAGCCAGCAACACTGATTTGACCAAAGAGCTCTGCTATTGGCCCAGTCTTGTATGGTAATATGGCAACAAAAGTTTAATTTCTACTGCTACACAGGCCTAGAAAAGAGCAGCATAGAACAATAAATAAATTGATACAAACAATAATACCTTTATAATGGTGCCCTGGATCCCAAAGCATTTCACAAATATAAACTAGTTGTATTTAAATGAAAGGATGACTGCAACCACCACTGAAATGTAATTACTTCTGGGGTGAAGCATGCAACTTCTTAACAGCATGCAGATAGAAGCACTACTCTAAATATATAAGGTCCACTTCTTTTGTAACTTATACCAGTTAAACAGCACTATGGGTCTGACTGTCCATTGCTGTGTTCCTGGTGTAGATATTTACACCTGTGAAAAGCCGGTGTGAAATGCTAACATTCTTGTCTAGTAGCGATTTAAGACCAGTTTGCTTTGTTGTAAATGAATGACTCCGCAAGATGTAGGGAATGAGAATCAGGGCCTTTGACTCTATTGATTTCAATTGAATTATTCCTGACTTACACCAACATTGGGGGGGGGAGGGATAGCTCAGTGATTTGCGCATTGGCCTGCTAAACCCAGGGTTGTGAGTTCAGTCCTTGAGGAGGCCATTTAGGGATCTGGGGCAAAAATCTGTCTGGGATTGGTCCTGCTTTGAGCAGGGGATTGGACTAGATGACCTCCTGAGGTCCCTTCCAACCCTGATAATCTATGATTCTATAAGTGGGAAGAGAGTCAAGACATTGGCATCAGTAGAGTGAGAGAGGAAGGCTGCTTGCTTGAAATACCTGTGCATTAAGGTAAACAATAATTCCTGTGATATATAAATTTTTATGGAAATCCTGATCTTTGTATATGTTACAGGGACCTCTTGATGCCAACTGGCAGTGGGCACAAGTGCATAAGGGGACAGGGATCTCTTTAGTCTGGTATCTACATATTGTTCGCCAATGAGTGTCATGTAAAGTCTCTACTGAAAGCCTGTGTGACCCTGGTCCTCATAATCATTGCAAAATGTATGTACAGATAAGATGTAAGGAATATATATATATTCTTAAGGTGTGTGATTTAGGATTGGTCACTAGAAGGTGATAAGCAAGTTTCTTGCAGGCAG